GGCGGAAACGGGCTTCCATAGTCTTCTGTGAACACATGCACATTAATAAAAGTGGTGTCGATGGGCTTATGTGTTTGGTGATCCTTTTTGTTTTATTTAGGCGTCCAAAAACAGATGTTGTACTAGTGTGGTGTTCTCTTCTCATTAGGTGCAGTTTATAGCAAGGTCTTCAATGTTTGGATGTTTTTGATGTGTTAGTTCATTTCCTTTTGATAAAACCTCAAACCATAGCAGCGTATGGTTTGATTATTTCAAGCTGTAGTTTGGTCCCATTTACAAAGTGAACCAAATAGTTCTTTGTTAAAATACTTCTTTTTTCCAGAATATATAATGTGTTTTTCCTGGTTCAGTAACAAAGACTGTTTTTGTCTTTCTTTCTTATTCTTTTTTTTTCTTTTTTTTCTTTTTAATCAAGCATACCAAATCACACTTTTGTTTTTGTTTAGTATGATAGTTTCCCTGATCACCTTGAAACACCTCCACAGGTTATGAGTTGGTCTTATCTTTGTTGAAAGTGCTCCAAACCATAAACAATAAATATGACTAATCTTTGTGCATATGTTTCATAATGACACTTTTAATACTAAGACCTGTAAAAATCATTATTATTGCTGTTATTATTATTATTATTGTTATTATTTGGTGACCTAGTGCTGAAATGGTTGTGGTGTGACTGTTGTCCTTTCTACTCTGCTTTCTCACTCCTTAAATTATTTTTCATATGCAGGTCTTACACTCTGAGCCTGACATTTCTTCTGTCAGTGTGGAACAAGAAAGTCAGGACTTTGAATTGTGACATAGTGACTGTGCTCACACTCACCTCTCTGCTTTGGTCCCTGAATGATTCAAAATGTTTAGCATGGACTCATCTAGTGTTTAAGGTTTTCATTTCTGTGTTTGAAATTCATTTCTATAGATGTATATCTGATTGGAAAATATGTTTGCATTAAAAGCATTCTGTATGGGGCTTTGACTTTTTGTTTTAAAGAAGCATCTCACCACACCAAAGGGTCACAGTTTATGCTGTAACCAGGGTTGGAATCAGAAGAGTTCAGAATATTGAAACTGAAGGAAAGTTTAAAAAAAAAGTGAGGTTTGTTGTATTAGTGTGAGTTATTGGATTATCCCAGAAAGTTGATTCTGTTCATCTGGACGTTCTCATTAGGAGAAATGTTTCCTCATCATCAGCTGACTGCAGGTTTCCAACCATATAAACAGGACATCTGCACACTGACTGAAACTAACACCACTGATTAACAGTGGACTGTGAGGTCAGTTTCATGATCATTAATATGGAAATTGATCAAAGCCAACTGAACAATGCCCATGAGTACCATTCACAGAGAGTTGTGGAATGGCTGCAATCACAGCATTGTAAGATGGTGACAGATGTACCCTTAGACCCCCTCCTCCATTCAGAGATTGTTTTTCCTTTTCGCACTCAAACCAGCGTTCCTCCCTGTCCAGGATGTGTACATCCTCATTATTGAAAGAGTGTCCACTGGCCTGTAGGTGTAAATAGACTGCAGAGCCCTGGCCTGACGAGGTACAGTCAGGTCCATAAATATTGGGACATCGACACAATTCTAACATTTTTGGCTCTATACACCACCACAATGGATTGCAAATGAAACAAACAAGACGTGCTTTAACTGCAGACTGTCAACTTTTATTTGAGGGTATTTACATCCAAATCAGGTGAACGGTGTAGGAATTACAACAGATTGCAAATGTGCCTCCCACTTTTTAAGTGTATGTAAATGTACTCTGACTAAAAACTGACGGTTTTATATCACTAATGTCACCAATTTTGCTGGCATGAAGCCAAATGGTTTAATGTTCTTAGTGATGGCTCAGAAATCAACCACAAACAGGGACGCGCGTCGCTATAAGACAAATTATGTGACCCATACAGCTGCCGTGTCATACACACTGACGTGGATGCAGTCGTTGTTTGTACAGCGATCAGGGCTCAAATTGTGTTTGTCGGGAACTCCTTTGCATCGGAGCTGTTTGTGAGGTTATCACCCAGCACACAATGATCTCCACCCTTCACACACACCAGCACTCCCACTGTCACGAGCGCTTATATTTCCCAAACACTTTCACTTTGATTTCACGTGTTTCATTTATACGTCTTTGCAAAACCTATTTTTGAAGTCTGCATTTGACACACTGTATTAATCAGTCATATGAATTTGTTATAATCAAATTAATATGCACCTCTCGTTCATTCAGTTAGCACTTATATAAACAGGACCGCTCATCAGTCAGGATAAATGAGCGATGTTCAGGATGCTTGCAATAATTTTACATCCAGCAGATGTCGCTATTAAGCAGCACATCCACACAGTCGACAGAAGGGAAACGTTGGGAAACATCACTATTAGAACCTAAACATTTACTCCTCGCTCCATGATGGGTAATTCATTTTTTTGAAAAAAAAAAAAATCTCCACCACCACGGCTGCGCTATGAATCCTGGGATAGGGTGGAGCACGAAGGATTCATCCAACCTGTCCTTCACACCTGGGAAAAGGAGGCCACATTTGGAGGAGCCTTCAAACTGGGACAGCTTTCGTTGCCTCGCTGTGATGTAATCGGCCTTCAAGGATGCGGCCCCTGACCTGGGACACTGTATATGCCAAGAACCGGCACTGGTACAGAGGCTAGGGGGCCTAAACGAGAAAACCAACAGGAATAGGTTATATTTTTATTTATAATATAAATGGAATGCAGTATAATATCGCTGCCGAATGAATTCTTTGATCTCAATAAGGGGAATCAAACTTAGAAAATACAAAATATGTATGCACATATTTTACTGTACAAAAATGGCATGTACAGGAAGAGAGTTATGTTTACAGCTCAGTTTCCACTCCTTGGTGTGTTGCAATTGATTTCACCCTGAGCATGTTTCATCATGTTTGTCATTCTAACAGACGTCCTCTCAGGACAACAGAACCAAGTCATCTGCTACATTTTCAAGCAGAAATGGTTCTGTGAGGATAGGAGGGAGGCAACCGCCCTGACGCAGTCCTCCCCTCCTGCTGCCTTTTATAAGACCGCAGGTCTCCCAAAGCTGGTCTACACAGAAAGGATGTGCTCCTTGTGCTGTCTCCGTGCCAGACCACAGACACTCCAGGTAGGGCTTCGCCTCACTTCTTTTAGGTGGGACAGAAAAGAAACATACTGTATGTAGGTGGTGTTTTAAACATTGTTGCTTGTCATTATTTTCTTTTGTTTTTATTTATTTTTTTATTTTTACAAAGAAAAAAAGTTGATCTTTCTAAACTAAATGTTGAAGTCTGCAGAAGCACTACATTCCAGGCATCCGTTATTAGCTAGTTATTAATTTCCTGAGTCTTAGTTAAAAAAAACTGTGTGCATTACATAATTTAAGTAGTAAAATAAGTGAGAAGTAAAAGTAAATGGGGAGCTATCTTTCCAAGGCCACTGGTCATATTTCCTAATGCTCCCTTAACAATAGAGACAATAGTATAACCTGTCATTTAATTCTGCAGTCTACTCTCCACAATATCAGAAGCTATGTGTTGGTTACTGAAGGTTATCTATCTGTACTGTACAGAATGTCTACGCTGACGTTGTGATTATATCAGATATCATAGTGTTCCCACTTATTTGTTTTGTTGTCTTTGTTTAGTTAAATTAATCCAGTGGCCAGATTCAAACTGACAGTTTGGGTAGTGTGATTGGAAGGATGTTTGTTGTTTCAGTTCAACTATGGCCTAAAACAGCCCAAATGTTTCACTATTAATAAAATATTTAAGGATATCACTTTATTGTACCACAAAAATACCATTAATACATCATTCTGTTGTAAAAGATCATAAATAAATGTACAGCTGTAAGTATTTGGACAATTGTACATTTTTTGTAGTTTTGCCTGTGTACACTGCCACAGTGGATTTAAAATGAAATAGTCAAGATGTGGCTGAAGTACTGCTGCTTTAATTCAACAGGTTTAACCCATTAATGCATTTTCATACATACTGCCCATTTCCAGAGAGTCAAAAGTAACAGGGCAAACTAACATCATTTAGACTATAATGATAGTTCTTAATACTTGAATTAAAATCATTTGCAGTCAATGACTGCTTCAGCAGAGGCATTTTTCCTTTGAGACGAACTGCTGGACCTTTACTGCAGCTGCCATCAGTTGCTGCTTGTGTGTGGGTCTGTTTGCCTCTTCATTAACTGAAAAGCCAGCAGCCATCCATGCCAGTGGCACAAAGATGCCTCCACTACGATTGTGTGCTGTCCTTCTTTGTTGCCAATATTTAATTTAGAAAGATGTTTGTGCTATGCAGGCTGTATTTAAATTCATGAAACCATGTCTTGTTTACAGACTTGGGTGATGGTTTGTCTTGAGTTTGAGTTCTTGCCTTGACCAGTGTGAAGTCGTTCTGCAGTCACCTGCTTATGATGTCTTCTGTGGTTTTTTGGGGCATTTTGGTGTTACTAAGCTGCACAGTGCGTTTTTGCTTGATGAGGTTCAAAAGTCACTCATGCAATGTCAACAGATTGTTGAATATCCATCATTATACTTTCAGTCTAACGATGTCTTCCTTTATTTGCATTGAGATTTCTTTGGACCTAATATTGAAACTTGTGCTGGATGGTTATTCAAAGGCAACATTCAGAATCAATTCCAGATCTTTTATCTGCTTAATTTGTCAGAAACTATTGATGGAACAGGCCTCGCCTTCATGTCAGTCAGTTTCATTTACTTTTTTAACATTTGGAGTGTCAAAAACAGAGGAATATGTATAAAAATGGCAGCATTTCCTTAACACCTTTCTCGTATTGTGGTTTTCTTCTTGTCTTCAGGTGCTGTGTGTGCAGATCTGCATGTTTTACTCCAGCATTTGTCTGGTAAGCTGGCCACTGTGCGCAGAGACAGCTAAAGTCCGATGTGGCTCTGACCTGCTCAGTGACCTCATGTTTGTCTGTGGGGACCGTGGAATCTATTTACGTGAGTCTGCCTCAAGTACAAGCTGTGGCTTTATGTACTGTGAGTTTGATGCATCAAGCAGCAGGATGGGCCCACATTATTCCACTTACTTTAGTCATTAGTCAAGCTGAGGAGTAGCAGCTTAACTTTTTTTTTAACTAAAAGCTCCAGGTGTAAATCTGTAATGATGCACGGACACAAGTGCGCCAATGTGCTTAGTTTCCTTTTTTGAAGTTTTTTCACCTGTTTGTTCATTCATGTTTTGAAAGCTGCTAAGATGATATACTAAATTAAACAACAAATTACCAATATTTTGAATGGTGCCACTATAACTACAGATTTATTATATGTATTAAAGGTTTGATAATAGCTAAACACACTGTTATTCTCCCTATAATCAGGATTTAAAACTAAATGCGATTAAACTTTAATTACTTCCACTGCACAGTACTCGTACCAATGCAGTTACCCACTGGACTTTTCACCTGGTTACCTTTGCTCTCTTCTAACCAAGGCAACCCTCTGCATCTGCTATCAGGCTGGTGGCAGTGCATCAAAATAGCAGCATACTCACCAGGACACTGTGCTTCTGTGTGATAGTCTTATTGTTAAAACAGTGTTATCTGAGAGCAATAAAAAGGTACAGAGAGGGAGCAGAAGCAGCTGCAGATATGCTCTTTCAGAAGCACTGTGTTCTTTGGCCTATATCGTGATTGTGCTAAATACTTTTGCATGTTTCATGTTTTGTTTATGCCAAAAACAGCGCGATAAATGTTCACAATGCCAGTACTAAACATGACTACATCTTGAAAGTAATGTTTACCATATTCACCAAGCTAGAGACAGTCAAAGGTCTCTTGAAGAAAAGAAACATTAGAAGTAAACACTGAAAGAGGTTTTAAATCAGCCGTGTGAAGATAAATAGTATCAATTATTATTTTGTCTTTTCAGGATAATGTGCTGCTTATCATTAATCCATTCACATACACGCTAATGCTGACGAACGCTGCAGTGCTCAGGCAT